GATCGCAAGTCTTTCAATGGTTCCCTCGAGAGCTATACCAATGTTGAGATCATTAAAATGAAAGACGATTAATGTTTGTTTTTAGCAATTATTTATTTTTATAAAAGTATAGTCTTTTAAATTTACATTTTAATAATACAATTGATTTTTTAAAATACAATTAAAATTAATTATAAATTACAATATAATGGTTAAAATGTTTTTAAATACAGTTAAAAATGTAAAAAGTTTTTACGTTAAAACAGATCAAAAATAGACTTTTTGGCTGAAGTTTTCTTAGAGTTCTTCAACTTCTTGTTCGGTCGATACGAGTGGCCATTATTGACGGGAAGCGATCTCTTGGGCGCACACAATGTCTTGAGCCGCTCGTCTCTGACCACAAAACTATCGATTCTGATCGACTTTTTCTCTGCCACGACAGCACTGTTCGGGTCTTTCGATTTGTTCAATGGATTCAAATTCAAACCAAACTTTGACTTTAATTTCTCGAAATTCTCGTCCGTTTTGGCCGCGGAATCGGTCTCTGATGTCGGCTTCAACTTAAGGCCGGGACTCTTCACGGCTTTGGCCGCCTCTTCGTCTGAGTCGACGTAATCTCCTTCGGAGTCTTCGTTGATGTAATCGTTAACAAAAGGCTTGTCTTCTTCGCCGAAATTCCACCGAAACTTCTTCTCGCGTACGTCGCGGTCGTCGTGAAGGTCTCCGTCGGCGAACATCATGTCCTTCAAGACCATCAGTTGTCGCTTGTCTTCGTCTAAGAGTTTTTTGCTGTCAAAACGAATGGCAAAGTATTAGATAATGTCAGCGAAGAGTCAAAATCAATGATCATTTACTTATGAATTCTCTCGATTTGGTTCCGGAGCTCTGATTCTGAGGGTAAGTCCTCCTCATCTCCTTCTTCGTTGTCGTAATGATTGTCTCCTTCGCCCTCCTCTTCATCGCTGGACACGTCGTCATCGCTTCCGCTGAGTTCGGCCTCGTCTTCGAAGAAACCGCGGCTCAACTTTCGGATGTCCTTCTCGTTCACCACTTCTTCTCCATCGTTATCGTCGCCATCAGAAACATCCGCCTCTTCGTCATCGCCTTCCGCCGCCTCTTCATCGGACACTTCGTCTTCAGTGACCACCAGTTCTTCGCCATCCGATTCATTAAAGCTCTTCAGCGATGAGATCTCACTCTTGAGGTCTGCTTTTGACTTTTGTTTCGCTTTTGTGTTCACTTTTTCTTCATCTTCTGATTCGCCATCGCTTTCGACATTAAATACTTTCCGCACTCTTCGGGCGTCACTCATGCACTTCTCGCCCACTTCTTCGTCGTCATCGGTGTCCACAACACCGGACTCTTGAGTGCTTTGACTCTTCTCTCCCATCTCTGGAATAGAACTTAATTGGGAACCAAAAGCTCCCGAACACAGGCCTAACAGTGTCTGCGAATCAAACTCATCGCCTGTGGCGTCAAATCTCGGTATCAATTGAGTGATATTCGTGTCAGTCATCCGTGGTTTAGGTCTTTGAGTGATGAATGGAGACAATGCGATCTTTTGTGTAGCGCACCGGCGCTCAAACGACTCGTCCAATGAGTTTATGGATGTGTTTAGAAGACTGTCATTGAATTTGTCATCCGATTCCTCCTCTTCTTCTTCATCGGCAGTCGCTTCGGTTGACTGAGACTTCCGTTGACTCTCTTCCGCATCGACTTCATTGTCCCCAACGATAGGAACAGACTCTTCATTCTTGTCGTTCAAACCAATGTCTTGCGAACACTTGTCATTTACGCGTTGTGTATCACCGGTCGGATCAGCTCTTGTCTCCACGTCTTCATCGCTGTCAGCGTCGGAATCTTCCGCCTCGTCGTCAACGAATGGATTCGCTTCCCTATCACTGCCTTCATCTTCAGCATCACTTTCCGCTTCTTCCTCCTCTTCCTCTTCTTCATCATCAGATTTACCATCATTTTGGTCACAATCGGACCCATCCTTCCGGTCCTCTTCGGCGATACCGTCCTCTTTGTTCTCATACGCCAACTGTTCCGCCAATTCATCCGCTTCTTCGTCGTCACCGCCGTCGCCATCGATGTCTTCATTTTCGATCAAATCATTCAATTCCCTCTCCTTCTCGACCTCCGCTCTCTTCAGTTCCAACTCCTGAGTCATAATTGTCTTCAATTGCGTCCACTTGTGTCCGGCGGCGAACTTCGGACCGCTTTTGGTCGGACTCTCATTCACTTTAAGCGCCAAAGTCTTCTTGTGGCGGAGGAAGCGATCCATCAGTGACTGGGAGGCGGTCTTCGGGGCCACGGCTTGGGTGTCATCGCCGAAGACCACAAACTGGTTGTCGTCGACAACAGGTTTCTGCACTAAAAGCGGCGGTGCGTTCTTCAGCGCCGCCCGAATGGCCAGTTGTGTTGCCGACAGCGGCCTCTTTATGGTCACCAAATCGTCCATTGCATGTGATTATGAGTGCTGTGTATGTGTGGTATGGGATGTGTTGTAGTGATGATAATCACAGTCTTATTGATGACAACAAAACAGTGTTTGCATTGAAAGAGCGCTCAAAATATGTGCACTTTATTAGCGCCTAAAATGCGTACAAAACTTATGTAAACCAATGGTTCAAACATTTAATACGCTTTGAATCAAACTTTACAACAAATTCAAAGTTTTGTTCACTATTTTGACAGATATTTGTTTTTGGAATACTTTTAATGATGTTTTAAATGGTGTTTAGTTTTAATTGCGATAATGTTTTAGTTATGAGAACCGACTCGAGCTATATATACACTCGGAATAGACCGGAAGGGTATGAGGATTAGTTCTCGCTAATTATCATATATTAGAGTAGTCATGAAATCCTATCAATAGATGTGAAGCAAGTGTATTGACCACTAACACTGAATTGTAACGTTAAGCCGTGCATCGATTAGGCGTGTGAACTAACATACGTCTGCTAAAACAGTACAATAGAGGGGGGCCGGCAGTTGTAATCAAAGAATATTATAATTTATATTTAATTTTAATAGTTTACAATTAGTTTAATTAACCAAAATTATGACCAAATATTTATAATCTGTAATTTACACTCTTTTGTCCCGATAAGCCTTAACTCGATTAGCCGTTGGTGTGAACGATGTCCCCTCTATTGTACTGTTTTAGCAGACGTATGTTAGTTCACACGCCTAATCGATGCACGGCTTAACGTTACAATTCAGTGTTAGTGGTCAATACACTTGCTTCACATCTATTGATAGGATTTCATGAAATATGTTTTCAAGAGTCTTGTTTGGATCACAACTCGCGGTCTCTTTGGTTAAGAACTTTACAGAACTATTGATTATACAGAGTGTATATTATTTCAATTAGTAGTGTTAAGCAACAGAAACAGTGAAAATTATTTAGCACCTAGTTCACAAAAAGTGTTGCGTTTGTCTCGGCTAATGCTGCACTACTCTAATATATGATAATTAGCGAGAACTAATCCTCATACCCTTCCGGTCTATTCCGAGTGTATATATAGCTCGAGTCGGTTCTCATCTCAACACTCATTCACTTCTTGTCTTTTACGATATTTAAGACACCATTTAATACAACTTAAGTTATTATCATATAATTTATTCAGTTATCAAATCAATTGATTGTCAATTATGTTGAACAACACGTTTGAGACGAAAACTGCAAATAACGGTATGTTTTATATTTAGTTTTGTAATTAAAATACATTTAATTATCAAAAATATTCTATTTTATGACATTTAACAACAAGTAATAAGTGATATTAATTTTTCAATTAAAACATCTAATTTATAAAAATAAAAATAACATAATTTTTATTGACAAACAATTGATTATAACTACAAATAAAGTTCTTTATAACTATTATCATAGGTTTGTCGACCACTGATGGCCGTCAAGAAAACGATGTGATACTAGCGATGTCTGAATCGGAATAAGTGTTCAATACTGGTGGCCAACAATTGAATGGACGCCCGAAATGGATGGACACTATTTGGTGGGCTCTCAAAACTGTTGCCGTTTTGATCATAATATGTATCGCAAAAGCAATTATCACTCAATTTATACATCAATTCTTTAAATGAGAAGAATATTTATTACAATAATTATCATTAAAATCAATGTCAAAAAATTTTTGTATGCCTTTTGAGAAACAATTAAAACAGATTTTATTTGAACTGAAATAAATATTTTTGTTTAAATGAATACATAATAAATACACGATTCATATGCCGTCGGAGAGAGTGTTAAGTAAACATGTGGTCACACAGTCGTCGTAATCGTTGTGTAACTCTTATTTGTGCTAACAGTCAATAATTTTATATTAAAAATAGTTAATTTTATTTAAAATCTGAATGAAATATAACATATATAATATTTGACATTAAAATAGTTAAAACTAATTATAAACTAAAATGAATAGAAGTCATCACTCGTCTAATTGTATACATGTTTAACAATAATTGTTGATCATAACATGATCATTTACACGTATACTGTCTATACGTAAGGAGTTAGAATTGGTGTCACGGATTGGGTGTCGTCGCCGAAGACCACAAACTGGTTGTCGTCGACAACAGGTTTGTGTACCGAAAGCGGCGGTGCGTTCTTCAGCGCCGCCCGAATGGCCAGTTGTGTGGCCGACAGCGGCCTCTTTATGGTCACCAAAT